CCTTAAATCCAATATGACTAAACTGATTTAGGAAAGCCAGTTTGGTAAAGTGGTAAAGGCATCAAGCTAGTAACTGGGAGACTGAGTTCTCCCAGTAGGGAGAAGCCAGCTGGGTGACCTCGGGCCAGTCGTTCACTTTCATCCCTAGGGAGCAGACAAGAGCAAAGGGACTTCTTGCCAAGGGACTAGTTCAGGCAATCACCACGAGTCAAAAACTGTTTTGAAGCCCCCCCCCCCCCCAAGAATTGATTTAAATTGAAAGGCTGTCAAACTGTTGAGTTGATCCAAGAAGTACAATAATTGTCAGTTTAAGTATAAAATAGTTATTATTCATGAATAGATTTGTACAAAATTTAAAAAGCAACTGTGTTGTTGTTTGTTCAGTCAGAACAGAGATAACAGTAGGGAGAGATAAGTTAATCAATTTTTCTTTATCACTATTTTTCTACTCAGAATTGGGCAATCCTAACTGCTTTCTGCCTTTGTTAGAATAGAATGGCATATTCCACTTTTCTTACATAAATATAATTAAGCCTGGCTCAATCAAGTCATACAGAAAGCATACTGTTTCCTTTTTCTTTCTTTCTTTCCCATTTGGAACATTATATCATTAACATTTTTTTTTCTTTTTGGATTGAACAGTGGCTAAGTCAGGCAAACAGAAAAGGCAAAGTTAAAATTGCATCTAACATTTAAATCTTTCCATTTGAAGCCTTCCTTAGTTGCTTTTCTTTTAAAAATAAAAACACTAAAATAAACTAGAATATTATTCATCCATTTTAATTATTTGTTTATCTTTTAAGTAAAACTTGGATATTTACTCCACTCTTTTTATAATGTTTTACACTTAATAATAATGGAATAGGCAGGATTGTAAGTTGATATTTATAAAAATATGATGAGACAATTTCATAATTACCTTGAAAGTGTTTTATGTCTTCAAGACCAAATAAATTATATCCTATATAGTGTTGAATTATATCCTATAGTATTGATCTAGCCAAACCCTTAATTTTTGGAGGCTTTTTTTTTTTTTTGAGAAATCCCAGTGAACAGATAAAACCCCAAATGACTGGAAGAGAGGTTGCCCTTATATAAAAAAATATATATTGGGGGGGGAGAGTTCCATCAAATTACTTATCATTTACTCTTACAGTGTTACCAGGAAGATTCTAAATTATAAATCAATTACTCAATAAATAAGTAATCAAATAATCTATCAGTTCATCTGTAAGCCCCATAAATATCATGCAGTCTTTATTTGTCAAAAAGAAGTCTTGCTTAACTATTATTATTTCATTTTTGATAAAATAAATTTCTTAATTAATTGTCTAATTGTTGTAGTAATAATGCATTTTGATTTCAGCAAAACATTTCATAAAAACTTCCATGACTCTGTGATCTATAATATGGGCTGGATTAACCCTCCCCTGGCCTGAAACATGTACTCTAAGAGTGGTTATCAAACTGAAGTGTTATTTCAAGGAAGTACTGCAGCATTTTTATTAATCACTTGGATGACCGAGTGAAAGAATCAAGTCTGCACATGACCCAAATTTTGGCTAGGACAATTAATACTCTGGAAGAAAAAAAAATCAGAATGATATTGATAAGTTAGAAAAAAATAGTTTCTGCCCACACTGTATGATTATCAGCATGGGTACTTTTTAAGTCCCATCAATCAAACAGCTTCACTAGTTGGAGCCAAGGAGAGGCTTCTTTGTTATGGTTCCTATCTTCTGGAATAGAAATTTATATAACTTCCCCCTTGATTATCTTTAAATAACATTGCTTTTAATGTTTTGGGCTTATGATTGTTTATTTATTTATTGCCCCAAATCAATAATAAAATAACGTACAGCAAATATGGTAAATAAAAAAAAGAAAATTATAGAAAATTACATGGAATAACATTTGGCTATTAATAGAAATTTTACTACCTTCTTAGAAATTTATGAGAATAGTCCATATGATGCAAGTTCAGCCTCTGTATCTGAACATGGGCAAGTATGGCTTTCCTATGGAGAATTCAATGAGTTTTTTCAGATATAGAGCCGAGGTGGCGCAGCAGTTAGAGTGCAGTACTACAGGCCACTTTAGCTGACTGTGTTCAGCAGGTCAGCGGTTCAAATCTCACCAGCTCAAGGTTGACTCAGCCTTCCATCCTTCCGAGGTAGGTAAAATGAGGACCCAGATTGTTGGGGGCAATGTAAATATATATATACATTGCTTACTGGTGTACACCGCTTAGAGAGTGCTTGCACTTAAAGCGGTATATAAGTCTCATAAATAAATAATGTTTAATTATTTTTATTTTTTTGTACAGTATTGCTTAATTATTAAGTGGAATTAGATTTTGATTGTTAAGAGAGGGATGAGGGCATTTATTAAATGAACAGGGAGTTTATATACAAGTTGTTTTTGTTTTTACTGACCTTTTGCCAGTTAATAAGGAGAGTGAAGATTTAGAGATAAGTTTATAGAAATGATGCTAGGTGTGGAATGGAGCTGTACTTGGTTGTATTTTAAGAGACAGTGATAAAATGTTGAGTATGCCTTGCTGGGGATGAAGGAGGAAGTTTCTGTTTGCCTTCATTCATGAAGTTTCTATTTCCCATTTTGAATAATAGAAATAAGGCAATGGACAAGAGATGGAGGATAGTGTTCTGATTTGGCCAAAACCTCAATGATGTCATTAATATAAAAGTGAACATTGGGGCAAATATACATCCTAATTTAACACAAGAAGTGATAGGTTCCATTAAGTTGACTTGGATGGTAGTGATATGTAGTGATATAGTTTAAGGAGACACTGCTCAATCAGAGGGGCAGCTAATTTCCTCCAGAGTCTTTTCCAAGCTATTGAATCACAGACTACATTTCAACTTATAAAAGCAACATAGAAGACACATTTAAACAAGTTACAATGTTTCTGAGTGAGATGACATAACACAGTGATGGCGAACCTTTTAGAAACTGAGTGCCCAAACTACAACCCAAAACCCACTTATGCATTGTCGAGTGCCGGATGGGTGTGGCCCATTGGCTGCAGTGGTAATGGCAGACTGGGTGGGACTAAAAAGTTCAATCAATCAATTCCAACTTTGCAAGATCTTTTTTTTCCCCGCGAGAAGTTAAAATTGACTGATTGAACCTTTTTTTTTTTTTACACATGGCAATGGAAGCCTAAAGTGAAAAGGTTTTATAAAACCCAGCTGAAGACCTAGGACTGGGGCGATGGCGTGCATGCCCACAGAGGGCTCTGAGTGCCGCCTCTGGCACCCATGCCATAGGTTCGCCACCACTGATATAACATAACACATCAGTCCATAGTCCAGTGATCAGATCCAGATTAACCTACACTATTCAGGAAACAGTTGTGGAATCAAATGCAGGACCCAAAGCAAATAATCAAGGCTTACTTCAGTGTTTATTAATCATCACGTGCTGGTGGGACTTCCTCCAAAGAATATTGGGAGAGACTCCACCCATCAAAGGGAGGCACTCATATTTATATATTCATAAGTGTGACAGTGACAATGCATAAGCAATAGATGATGTAAGCATAGATACTCATAGATAAAAAGATCTCAAATTAGTATAGATAATGGAGCTGAGGTTATTTCCTGTGCCTGTTTTCCTTTGGAAATCAAAACGGGGGATAAGACAATAATGCAATAAAACAGGGAAGAAAACTTCTCCCATAAATGAAGAAGATGGGGCAGGGTGGGAATGCAAGACACCAAAAAGAAAAAGCATTTCTCATTGCAAATTATGTGATTGTTTTAATGAGATAATAAACATTTTAATGACATAATAAAACCTATATATCACCTTGATTTAATCGATTCCACTCTGAGAATTGACTTTCCCCACACATTTCAGGATAGGCTGTGGGGCAGATCCCACAAGCATTCCTCTTGAGCATCTCATTATGGTCCTAGAGGACGGCCACAACTCACTTGCTTTCCTCAGTGTAGTGGACAGTCTGTCCTGCTGCTGTTGCCCTGGTAAGTTTTAAGCATCAGTTTAATTAGTTTCCAAACCTCTTAGGTGTTACCTGAAAGAGCAAAGTATTTGTAAAAATAGTGTTTGTAGAGAACAAATGTTGCACACAGGCATTCCACAGAAAGTATAGGAATGGTGTGACGAGCAGAATCTGCCGGTGTCGAGTCCCCACATCCACTCCTTCTGGATCTGTCCTGAGAACGGGGATACAAATATTTTCTGTTTTTTAACCCTGGGAAGAAAAGATGAAATACTTGCAGTCTTTCTTTTTTCTCTTTCAGTAGTCTCCCTTCCCTTCATGCCTTGACTTAGATTGCATCATGTAAGCCTTCATTTATTAATCTTCAAGAATAGGGTTGCTTAGGACTCACAGTTTTGTTTTGTTTTTGGTTGGGGAGAACAATATTGTGTATGTTTTGGCATCACTTTGGATTATTAGAAAAGCAGAGTCAGTTTAGAAATAAAATATAGAAATCAGCATATTCCCTAACATAGAAGGCTCTTTGGTAATAAAGTTAGTAGTATTTTGAAATGTTGCCATTATAATGTGTTTCATATCAGGCTACTTAACTTTTTATTGATTTGTGAGAGTTAATATGTTGGAGAATAATGTATGTTTTTACCTAAAGGTCTTGCAGATTCTTGGCTTATGCAATTACTTAGAGTAACATACCCTTGTATCTGTGATCACCATCTGGTAGTAACATTCCTAAATCTTCCTATTCCCTGCCTTTTTTGCTAGGAGAATTGGTGCCATTGTTTTCCCCGCTCTGACATTTTTTCCTTCAGATGTGAGTTCAGGCCCAGAGGGTCCCCAACCAAAGGAGGAGATCATTACTGAATGATTCTTAATTCTCCCTCGTGCTTTTAACGGCACATGTTAATAAATTATAGTTTGCAAAGTTTACCATGTTGATCATTCTGTTTATCAATTAAACATTTCTTGGAAGTGTAGTTAGATCTTTCTGATTTGGCTTTTTGGTTTTATGTAGTCTCTACTATGGAAGATTGTAAGGAGCAAGAAGCTGGGATGGACAACAATGTTACTCTGGTGCCTTTTGAAAGACCTGCTGTTATAGAGAAGCTGACAAGCAACATGGGAAAGCGTAAAAGCTCCACCCCACAGAAGTTTGTGGGTAAGCTTCAGATGAGCACTTTTGTTGCGTGTAGCAAAAAGGGTAGCCTATGATTAAATCCTAAACTTTTGAATGCTCTCATTGGCAATTTCAGTATGGGCGTAAATCAGTTGGGGGAGGGGGAGATGAGGTAAACCAAGAAGGTCTAGAAACTTAAAATCGTCATAGCACCAATACTGTGGAATATAATTTGTAGCCCCCATGAACTGATGAATATCAATCATTCACTTTTTAAATAAAAAGGCATGATTTTAGATCATAGGAGTATGTGAAAGCTTGAAAATCTGGTGGTAAAAAAGTATGACAGATTGTTCTGAGTAGAGCATTTGTTCACATTATATTAGAAGGGATTTCTTTAAATTAGCATTAATATTTAACACTCTTACTCTACCCTCTGCTATGTTATACAATGCTATTTAAAACAGTCATACTGTTGAAAGAATATTTTTCTTTAGTCTGCCTAAACCACAATAGAAGTATTCTAACCTAAGTATTATTGGGCTTGCCTTGTAAATATTGGTTTCTCTTATTACAAAATCAGGATGTGGGAAGTGAGTACATGGACAAGACATGAGGTACAGCACATAATTTTGTATGCCCTATGAGGGATTTGAAGCAGTCAGGAACAAAAAGGAAATCCAGCTGAATGAATTGGACCCATATTGGAAAATAAATGAAAAACTGGCAGGGTAGCTGAATGTTTAAATTCTCAGGGGCCAAAAAAAAAAAAAAAAAAAAAAGGAAATAAAACAAGCCAAAATTCTCTGAAGCTCAGATGAAGAGTCCTGGGTGAGGCTGCTCAGCTGTGAAGGACCCCGCAGGCTTAGGGCTTGGAGTTTCTCCACTTGGGCCCTGGGCTTACTGTAGCAATCCCTCATCCCACCTGAGACCCTGGATATAGGTAAGGTAACTAATGAGTTTTGGATGGTCGTAAGCAATCCCAGAATTCACTTGAAGGTTTTGTATCGGCCCTAGTGATCAAAAGAGCTACTGAGTGACCAATAAAATAAATAAAAACATGGCAGCTCCAATTGGCTGCTTTTCACAAAAAGGGTTACCTTGCAGAAAGAGTTACATTTCATAAGAAATGTAAACATATTCAGCCTGGTCCTCTTAAATCGTATTGGACTCTGATTTTAACACTGAATGACATGTAATAAATCAATATATTGGCAGTAATCCCCATCATTAATGAATATTTATTCTACATTGTTTACCAAAGCTTTACTTCGATTGAAGAATAAATTAGCCTGTTATGATGGTTTAGAATTGTATTTTCTGGATTCAGGTTGTTTTGGTAGAAGCTTCAGCTATTCCCACCTGTGCCAGCAGAATAAGATCAGAAACACACAAAAAAAAAATAAGGATAAAATCCATCATATTATTTCTTAGAAAAATGGGGAAATAATGTATATTATAAAAATAAATAACAACAGAACAAAGTTGCTTCATTTGCAATAGTTAAAATAGTTAAAGTATTTGCACAATGCAATAATTATGAAAATATGTGTTTCCTTTTCAGAAATTATGCACGAATATATTTATCTTAGCGATGTATGCCTAATCACATATTACATTTTATAACATCTGTAAAGAAATCTAATTCTATTCTGTGTGGATAGGATGATAATTTGAGCAAAGATCAATAGTTCTACCTTTTCAGAAAAAAGAATTGTACTCTAGTATAGAGAAAGCTGAAACACGATGTACACTATGTCTTTCAGATCTAGAGTTTGATTTTTACTCTCAGATAAAACTAAGACAGTATTGTAATCTTACAGCTGAAATTTAAAGAAAGGGAGTAAAAATGTCATGCTTCAGAGAAAAAATAAAAATAAAACCTTAGATTCAAAATATAATCCTCTAGAATCTGAGAAAATAAAATAATTCTTCACTCAGTGTCATAATAACTATTGTAAGTGAATAAATACTGTATACATTTCTTCAGATCACGTATTAAAATTAACTATAGCTTTATCCATATTTATATTTTATAGTTAAATATTTAGAGGCAGATGAAGAATTAGCTATGTAAACGTATTTCTTACCAAAATGTCAGTGAGATATTGGGAATCTATCAGGTTTTAATTATAAATTAGTTTCAAATGATCTGTCTCCAGTCTCAGATAGGCAAGAGATACTGTGTGAGGGAGGTTCTGACCTGGTGTTGATAGAGAGAAACAGAGTTAGACTAACCCTATGAAGGCTGTGGATTTGTGTCCAGTGATGGTCTATATTTGACTTTTGGTGAGGTAGTGCTTCCCCAGGCAAAGCTGACCCACATCTTGGGAGTCCTGAACTCCTGGATCCTGTTTGAACAGCAAGTAGAGGTTCTGGCCATCAGCAGTAGTTGTGGACTTTCTTGAATTTACTTAAAATTGCTCAAGGCCTTGGCATTTCACAGCTGAATTACTGTAGTATAGTCTACATGGGGCTGCCTTGAAGACCATTCAAAAGCTTCATTAATGCACTGTGCAGTTTTTCAGGGAGTTATGGGTGAGTGTCCTGAGCTTCACTTCTTTAATTGCATTACTACAGGAATTGCAGTGGCTGCCAATTAGCCTCTGGATACAATTCAAGCTCTTTGTGGCTTAAACCCTTAGGTATTGCCATGATCGTTTTCTCCATGTTGAATCAGTGTCTCCAATAAGATCTGAAAGAGTGGGCTTGCTAAGGATTCAGGGATCTCAGATTCAACCCTTCTTAGTGAGAAATCTTCTTCTTTGGAACATCTTGTCCCCAGATATCCAGACCACAGCATCCTTATTATACTTCCATAGAGCTGTAGAAACATGGCTCTTTAGAAAGGTATTTTGAGGTATGTAAGATCAAGCTATCCTAACTAAAAGCTGTAAACTTCTGAAAATCTTTACAAATGGAGGGGCATATAATTTGCAGTCATAAATAAATAAGACCACAGAAAAATCAATAGGGCAATACTGTACATATCTTCTAAAATATTTTTTTCTTTTTGTACATACAAAACAAAGTATATGGCAGGTAAGATATGTAAGGCATATCATACATATATAACCACACAGCATATATTGATTTTTTTTAAAAGTAATTAAATCTTGACCATTCAAAATAATATTAATCAGTCTTTCCATTACATCAGTGGGGTGTCAGTTCATAATCATGAAATGAGCAGTCATCTATAATCTTAAGATTATAAATCATTCAATCGTTGAATAATTATCTTCTTTGCAGTTGCCAATTTATGAAACCACCATAATTCTTTGTAGAATTGTACACCATTGGAAAAAGTAAGCAGGCAAATCCATTCCAATTGCTCTTTAATCAAGTTTATATGAAAATATGCAAAATAATGTCCTTGTGTACTTTGTTATGTGATTGACTGCAAATGTTATTGAATAAATATATAAAAAGTTTAATGTCCTTTTTTCCCAACATTAAAGAATTACAGAGTATGATTATGAAATCATATGAAAACAGAACTATGCACTATTAAAGAGTAAAACCATAAAACAAAATAATCAAGCTGCATTGGTTAGAGGAAGGATTCTAGGTGCAATTCAAGGTGTTCATTGTCATCTATAAAACTATATGTGGTTTAAGGGCTTGATTTTATAGGGCTGCATGTTTCTAACTATTTCTCCTCATTCTATAATATTTGCATTTTTCACATGCTCCGAGATCCTTTAAAAAAAAAAAATATTGTCATCTTATGCGACCTGGGAGCTGTGCCTTCTCTCTGAATCTGAACGGGTGACTCTTGCCCTCTGGAATAGCCATCCACCAATGGGCCCAACCCTTTAGAGAAGATTTTAGAATGTGGATTTCCTTGCAGGCCTTGTATATTATGTGCAATGTTATGATGTTTTAAATCTTTTGAATTTCCACAATGCAGGTTTTTTTTCTTTTCATTGTTTTTACTTTATTTTTTATTACTTGTAGAATTAGGCAACCTTACAAACTGAATCAATCAATCAATAACAATGAGCTTCAGATCTCCAGCTGATGTCCTATAGCAGGGGTGTCAAACTGCCGGCCTGCAGGCCGGACACATCATCCGGAAGCTGCGCTCACCCCATTGCCGGCAATGGCAAAACTGTCCTGATAGGTTACACGACATCACATGATGTCGCAAGTTTGACATGTCTGTCCTATAGTAACTTCTTATATCTTATTAGCTTTTTAAATCATTTTTTTTTGTTATGAAAAGCATTCCTTTTTGATTTGTTAAAAGCAGTCCCTAACTTCTCACATAGAAGCTAAACAACAGGAAGAAGAGAATCTGGAACAAAAATTTCCTAATACCACTTCTGGTAGCAATCCTTTAAATAGAAACTGAATTACTGAAATACTGCACTTCCAGTTCCTTAATCACAAGGCTGGTCCAGGGACTGGATTTTCAGTAATATTCCTCCCATTTTTCACTTAGAAAAGAATATTAGGGTAATCAAGGCTGTTATCAGTGATGCACTGATCAATGAAATTTGTCTAGATAATAAGCTTCATCAATTGTAGCTAGCCAATTAATTACATTGTCCCCAAAAAGAGAATTTGCAAGTGGATTCTCATTGTTCAAGACTTAGTGTCCATGCAGAACCTCTTAAAGAGAGGTTACACCACTATATGTTTCATACTGGAAGACATATCCCCACCTTATAAGGCATTAATTCCTTTCCAGTCCCACCAGTTTGAATCTTCCTGCTAGGTACTGCCGGTCATGATAAACAAAGATTCATAGAACAAGTAATCATCCTAACCGTTACAAGTAATTTAACTAATTCACAGATTTCACCAAGAGTCTTGAGAGCTGGCTGGTATACAAAGACATGTAAATAAATAAGTAATTACAGTACGTAACAATTACAAATTCTGACAGCTATAATCTCTATAGATCCTGCAATAACTATGGCATCTAAATTGACATGGATGATGAACATTTTAATTCTCCAACTATAGCATGGTGTTTTATTAACCAATGGGTAAGCACTTAAAAATGGGCCTGAACAAGCTTTATACCTTTTTCACAACACTACTACCAGCACAGGAAGGTAACCTGTAACCAGAAGAATACAATTTACTTTGTCTCCATTTTAGCTGAATACAGTCTTATTCATTGTTCAAAATACATGAAAAACTACAGAGTATTCTAAGTGGAATTTAGAATCAGAGATGGGTGCTCTGAAGTGATACTTTTAATCAATAGCCCCTCTCATGTCACCATTCAATTATGTGACTGTGGTCTTAAGAGAATTGTCAGCTAAATCGCCTGGAAAATCACTCAGGGCCAACAAGAATCCTTGGATTTTATAAATCTCTGGAAGCAGATGATCGTAATAGGTGCCAGTCATTGCCAGCTCATATCTTACTAGTGTAAGGACCCACCTCACTTTGCATCTTAAGAAGACAGAACTCTTGGAATAATTCTTCCAACAGGAATCCTTTATTAAGAAGAAGTGGTTGCAGCCGTGCTAGACAGGATTTGGGGTCCAAGCTCTCCCATTCAAGGTTTTAAGGGGTTCCCCAGCAGTCCCACCCAATCACCCCCCCTTCCAGTGATAGTTTCAGGCATCACAATTCCACCCCTTTGTTCCTTTCTTCCGTCTGGATGGAGACTTCAGATAAACTACATGAAAGGTAAATAGCCCCCTTTGTTATGGTAAGGTTCTTTGGTGCTATTTACATTCAAACTCTTTGAGGTTGCAATAAACACATTCAATTCCTTAGAAGTATACTGAAGGAAGTGAGGCCCATAAAGCCCCTTTGTTCTCCCCCTTCTCTCCCTCTTATGGCAGAATCCAGAGAAGGCAGAATTGGGGTTTTCTATATTTGATGATTAAGGATGAAATATAATTGGATTCTGACAACTAGAGAGTATCCATCAGTGACAAATAAGTGGTCTTCTCTCCATCAATCCACAATAACCCCAAACCAAATTGAGAAAATGAACTGTACTATATATAATATGTTAGCTCTATAGTTGGTATAGATGGTCCCACAGTTATCAGAATATTTATAATATCCTGAGTTGGACTTGAAGGAGTTAGTTAGCATAGGTTACTGAAATCCCTTACCTTCAATCCCCTATCATCTTCGATCCTAGACTGATTCTGCCAAAACAAATGAAGATACAAGTAGAGAATAAGCAATAAATCTCTATATTCTGTATACAACTTGTAGTGATTAGCAGAAAAATATATGTGTATTTATGCATGTGGTATATGTTTTTGATTGTTTTAAATGTTTATTTTTATGACTGAAGTCTTACAACCTCTTCCTCCTCCTTCTCAGACCTATGCTATTGTTACATTGAGTATTTGTTTAGGATAGTACAAAATCAGACTTTGCTTCTCCTTCAGTCATGCGTACTTCATCCAAGATCATATCAGGGTTGAATGTTATTCTAGTATTATGAGAGTGAAGGTCAGCATGCCCTCCAAAAGTCACCTATAGGAGAAAAGGAAAAGTTCCATCTTGTTCCTCTGTTGATGCAATCCTTTTACTATCTCGTTCTTTCCCCTCTTCTAACCTCCTTCTTTAAGGCTTCTTAAAGCCTAAACTTCAAACTTTCTTCCTTGATTTCTTGATTTGCTCAGATAGTCAGGACATTTGGGCATATACAGACAAATTCAAATGATCCAGAATGACTGAGCTCAGTTCTGAAATGGTAATATAACGATGTTACCTTGAATGAACAATCTGCACTGAAGATGGGAAGAAGTCTGATTTGTGAGGCACATATTTTTCACTTCTGATCAGTGGTGGGAATCAGCCAGTTCGCACCACTGGTAGCTAATTTTTTGTTGCCCAGGCCCAGAATGGACTTCTGGAAGTGGCATCCACACAGAGAACCAGTTGTTCATATATTTGAACCCCACGACTGCTCCTGGTGTATAATATTTTTGAAAAAACTGATTCTAATAAATTGTGTCATCTGTGAATACATAATGTCAATGTTGTTTTATATGGTTTATTCTCAAATGATCAACATTTGCACCAACATTTTAGAAACTATAATAGGATGTCTCATTTTTCTTCATTTTAGTTGCTTCAATGCTTGAGGGCTCCATATCTTACATAGATTTTCACCTAACGTATTTTAAAAGAAAAATACATTATTGTTATCTCTTTCCATATGTAAACTTTGTGTTCCTGTATTATTTGAAAATAGCAGTCCAATTATGTCACTGTTTAGAAATATTATAAATCAGCATGTATATATGTTTGACGTTTGGAAAATAGTATGTATTTTATTCTAATATGTAAATCTGAAGTGAGAACACATCATCAAAACAAAATGAATTGAATTGACACAAATTATTGAAATTTTCCAGTTTATGGAGATCCTATGGATTGTAAAATATAAAAGTTAAATAAATCACAGAATTTTAAAATGAAAATCTAAAGACAATGGTTTGATTATATTTGTATTCCATTATTGCTAATTTAGCAAATACTTCAGATTCTGCCAAGAGTCCCTTGCACAATTACTGGTTGGTAAATCCCATGGAATATAGTTTCTTTTTGAGTAAACATTTTTGGGATTTTTTTTAAAAAAGCGAAATTTTATGTATCATTTTCTACCAATGGATTTGTATTGTTGATCTATCATTTCTTATCTCAATAGTGGTATTTTTTTTTCTTCTTACTGTTGTTCTCATGTAGGTGAAAAGCTCGTGAGATATGGTTATCCAGATATTCATTTTGATCCAAGCTTACCTTATGAGAGAGATGCTGAGCTGATGCAAACTCACATGATGGACCAAGCAATCAACAATGCAATCTCTTACCTTGGGGCAGAGGGACTTCACCCATTTGTGCAGCACACTCCAAGCACAATTGCTGATGTGGCACCTGTCATAAGTTCAGCTTATACTCAGGTGTACAACCCTAACAGGATAGAAAGACCAGTAAGCAGAGGAACCACTGACAGCAATGAAAATAATGTGGATGGCCCTCTCTCCCTCATCAGACCAAAGAGTCATCCCCAAGAAAGAGAGGCATCACCTAGCAATAGCTGCCTCGATTCCTCTGACTCGGAGAGCAGCCACGAAGACCACCAGTCCTTTCAAGGAAACCTTGCCTTAAATCCCAAACGAAAGCAAAGCCCAGCTTACATGAAGGATGACTCCAAGGCTTTGGAGGTCAGTAAAGCATCAAAGGGCTCTTTAAAGGATATCTACAAGGTCTTCAATGGAGAAGGAGAGCAGATAAGGGCATTTAAGTGTGAACACTGTCGAATTCTTTTCCTAGACCATGTCATGTACACCATTCATATGGGGTGTCATGGCTATCGGGATCCCCTAGAATGCAACATTTGTGGATACCGGAGTCAGGACCGATATGAGTTCTCTTCCCACATTGTCCGAGGAGAACATACATTCCACTAAGCCTTCTTTTCCAAAGGAGACACTGAAGTAGAAAAACAAATACTGCACATGAAGAAATACTGCACTTGCAAGCCCACTTTTCCTCAAATGTTGACACAGCTCTTTTCATTGGTTCTCTTCCTTGCAGCTATTTTTAATTATTGTTATTTTTGTTGTTGCTGTTTTGAGGATCCAGTCTCGCCTTACTACCAGTGGTGAGGTGAGAAGGAAGGAAAGGAGGGACCAGATAATAATTTGGCTTATTGTTTTTATTACGAAAATGGATGTTGCCCTTTCATAGTGGAAAGTGAAAGGGAGTTCATTTCTGTCACAATTTTCATATAGCTTTTCACATGCTTAACTCAGCAAGGTGCTCTGACATCTTAGCAAGTTGCCATTTGGGGGGAAAATAATAATTTCAAAAGAATAAAGCCCTTTTAAATCTGTAGCTAAAGTTTTGTTCAGGATGGGGGATGAAATTCTTATTTTGCAAACATTCTAGCAAAAGGGGTGTGCTTAGGGGCAGGGAGAGGTTTCACTTAAAACTAACAATTATTCTGTAGGTTTAGGAGCACCGATAAATATCAAGGTTTGCTCGGAAGTTATTTCCTGAGGTGAGGTTCTTTCGTATAAGGTATTGGTTGTATGGAATGTAAATGAATTGTTTATATCTAAATACTAAATCACATAACTGAGATTTGATTTTTCATGGGAAGTGACATCCTCCAGGAAATCTGAAAACATAAAATGTTATTTTACTAATCCCAATATGCACTTTTAAAAAAGAATGAAAACTAATTGCTAGGATGCTTTTATGTCATTCATTTACCAGCTTCCTATAGGTCTACCTATTTTTTAAAGTTGTTTAGGTGTTAACTATTGGAGTCTGGGTATATTTACTAAAAATAAGCTTCACTTAGTTCAGAAGGAGTTTATTTCCTAGTAAACATTCTTAGTTTAAAAATACAGATATAAATATTTATCTAGCAGGTTTTGCTGCTTTAGAATCTCAGATATGCTCATTACAAATGCATTTGAACTATGAAATACTTATACTTTTCATTTTATTTTTTTGTAGTATGAAGCATTAGGAAACTGAATAAACTAAGATTTCAGTTAGGAGATCTGTATCCTGAAACAGCTGGTTAGAGCTGCCCTAATGACTGAAGCAGCTTACAAATTGATAACTAATTTAACTATATAAGGATATGCAGACACTGTTAGAGGTACTTTAGTATTGCCACCTTTTTGATACACACATAAGGAAAGAAATATATATATATTATGCAAAAGTATCTCTCCCCAACACATATTTAAAACTGCAGCATACAGAACCATATGCACACAGACACAGATTACACACACAGACACACACACGTTTAGTCCTTTCTTTAGTCCTGTAATTCCCAGGCATCTCTCATCACATTTGCCACTGTGGGTCAGACCCATACAGAAACCACCAGTTCTCAATCTCAGCCTTACTTCCTCAAGAAAAACTAATCTGTAAGGCAATCTTTAATCTACTAATAATTGTCATTCTCTCCCTCCCTCCCTCCCTCTCACACACAGAGAGAGAGAAAGAGAGAGAGAGAGAGAGAGAGAGAGAGAGAGAGAGAGAGAGAGAGAGAGAGAGATCATAGTCATAAATAATGATTTCTTACTAAATAAAAGAACACTCTTTCCAAATGAAGCTGAATAGAACCAAGAGCCTTAGATTATGCACGGGCTGATTATTTGCCTGAAGAATAATTTCAGGTTTTAGTTACTCCCTTGATCATATTAGCAAATGAAGACTGAATTACTAGGTTAGAAATATTAAGGCTGTTTAAACATCTCTTGATTATATAGCTCTGAATATATGATCTGGATTTATAATATTTAATTTTATCAATCTTTTCCCCCTCAACTATTTTAGTTAGTTGGGTTAGTTGGTTGTTTTTTTTTAATAAAATCGGTGACTACCTCACATTTTTCTACATCCTTAGATATTTGCACATCTGGCTGTAAAATTACAAAGAGGATAGATTAAAAACCATACCTTTTCTGACTAGAAGATTATGGGGAAAGGATCCTGTGACCCTGCAGATTTTGCTGAACTACAGCACAGCAAAGGGAAGGGGTTGCTGGGAGTTGCAGTTAAAAATATCTTCAGCACCATAGGTTACTGCCTCAGGTTGCCTCTCAAAACAAACCATTTGCAGTCTTTGGTTTTACATATTTTATTTAGCATATTCAAGAATAAAGAGAGTTAGTTAATTGGTTTCTAAAATAAAGTTGAAAAACTAAAAGGTATGTTATTCTCTTTTGGTACAAAATGGGAATGGCGGGCAACCATCCTATGCAGTCTAGTACATGATAAAAATTAAAGTGATTTTGCTTTAACATTTCCTTCAGAAAGCAGTTTAGCTTGTACATTCTTTGTCCAAAACAGGGTCCCTGAAGCTAGACTGTTGCTTCTTGCAGTCTTATACAGAAGCAATAAAGATTTAAGTAACAAATTTGTCTAAAACAAATACAAGCCAAAGATTATAAACTACACAGCTAGTATTAATATCAGAGAAGAATTTCATGGCAGGAAGTGCCAGAGCAAATAGTTCTGTTCACAGTTGCTTGCCAGAAATTTTGGGTTATATTTTCTTCTTCAACAGAAGTGTTTCCCCTTCCCTCTGCCATTTCTCATGAATCCCAAAAACTTTCTCTGGAAGTTTGGGGACCTTCTGGATGTTGAATGGTGCCCATTGACATTTTATGATTTGCATGATCCCTTGTACAAGGTGAAACAAAGCTAAATTGGGAACTCTATGTTATCCAGAGGCTCAGTTGGTCATTCTGATTAATGACTTGAACCTATTTTCTGTGGAGATTAAAGTGGTTACTATTTGAAGATGTAAAGATATGAATGAATACATTTCAAATATTCTGTTGTTTTTCTGAGCACTTGAACTAGTCCAGATTGAACTTGAGCATCTTGAATTAGTCCAAATTCAAGAAGCAGATTATAGGTGTCCCTTGCTTCTCTTATCTCATTTCTGAACATCTCTTGCACCCAATTGCTGACCTACTTTTTATATGTTTAGAAAGGTCACTTGTCTTTAAAATAATTTAAAAAGAATTTTAGGAACAAAAAGATTCATGAACCCGCACAGGAGTATATTTCACTCTGATCCTATACAATAGTTTTTAAAATTATTTTCATTGTGCCTCTATGTTCCTGCATCAGTCATAATGGAGGAGGAATTTTAAGAAAAAACTGATATCTCTAAAATAGCAAAAACTAAAATATTTTATGCCTGGCAGGAGTCAACAAAAAGCCATTCAAAAGTTATTACCATGACAAATAAATTCTCACAAGCCACAGTGATCTATTACATGTTAAAATTATATATACCTAGAGAGTTAGTAAAAGAATGCAATCTCTTGCAGCCTCATTACAAAAAAGAAGATATTCAGTAAAATAATGCTTTCTTTTATTATTTCCTATGGAAATATATAAAATTTAGCCTGTGTACAGAATATTAATGGAGTTATATACGTTACATTTTCTGTTTCAGGTTCAGGAATTTCTTATTCATTTTGCATTCATCACAAAAAAGAAAAGATATAATCTCTCCCCAAAAGTATTTTATGCTATATTGTCTACAGTAAGGGCTGTAATGATATTTAATATTTCTTATAAAGTGTAGTATGTTTATTAGAAGAGTGTTAAGTATTACTTTAAGAACTGTGATCAAAATGGACAAAGTGAGATATATTTGAATTCATCAGTCTTATAAAAAGTTTGAAATATATTTTTGAATGATTAACATTTAAAATTTTGCTGCATATGAAATCTAATATTGGATTTTAAAGGGAAAACAATAATTTGCTAAAAAAATAATTGGAATTTGCAAATGAAAGATAATCAATATTGAGATACCTGGAAAGGAACCCTTAGTTTGATTTATCACGAACAATTGTTATGGAGTTTCTTTTCAGCTCAAAAACTTCTGATGGTTTTCAGAAATTGGAATTTCACAACTTACAATTTGATGAATTATGCAGAGGAACATATTTCAAAGTATTTGTCAAGATTATCGTTATAAAATATTCCTGTTAGGTTTTTTTTGATAGGACACACCTTTGTTCCAACAGTAAAAACAACAACAACAAAAAACATTTCAAAATAAGGAAAATAATTTTGATTGTGTTTGATTAAAATTTAATGTGGCTGTTTTCAATTAAAGAAGAGCCAGGGCTCCACTTGAAAACCTTGCTGTCCCGACTTTCACAGGAGACCATTTGAGAATTAAAAAGAGTCTGAAAACAGCCCAGAAGAGGGAACAGGAAGCTGCTCCCAAATTCTGACCCAGAAAACTACAGGATATGCCTACGAAATCACCGGAGATTGATTTTGACATGTCGTTTCCTTATGAACAAGGAACTCAAATGCCACATGAATGAAAGCTTCTAATTAGCGCAAATCTGAGTGTAGATTTCTTAAAGGATTTACACAGATGCTGGGAGAGTCAAATATGTTTTGCTATAATAACTTTAGGTGAGTTATCTTAGGAGTAGGAATTAACAATAGTTCCCAAAGCAGGGACTTGTGTGCTTCAGAGACATCTGCATGGAGCTCAGTCTGGTCTCACACAATTTATGGTGTGCCCAGACCTACCCTAAGGAGCCTCCAGGAGCCCTTTTGGAATTGAAATGCATCCAATATACTATAGCTCAGAGTAGAAACCACCCTATTTTTTTGAGGGAATTTGTCTATGGTTACTGATCTTCAATTGATAAAGATGGCTTTTACCAAATTCTGCAGTTCCTTCTGTGGAACGATTTCAAAGCCACCTCTTAAAAAGTTGCTGTTTGATCCAAAATACTCTAAGAAGAGATTGTTGCTTAGATTGAGATACTACTCTTGAGGACTATTACAAAAAAATATAAACAGACACAGATCCATATGAGTAGTCTGCAAGGGTGCTGATTGTTTGCTTCGTGTGGTGATATATTAATATATAAAAAGTTTTGATTTATATCCACCAATTCATAATTGATAGTATCAAACAAAATTGTAGAAGTGGAATTTTGGTGCCAAAAACTCTACTGTATTTTTCAAGAGAAATCAATACCTGCACCCTTAGTTTCTCAAGACATTCTGGAAGGGTTTGGGCCTGAAGCCCCTGCAGAGGGCTTTGGAGGGTTTGCTTTCCTATCCCTTCCCCAGGCTTCCAGAATAATTTCCAGTTCCGTATTAAGATCTGGAACTCCAGAAGGGAATTGCTTGAGGCTGTAAGACACGGATTTGTGTGGGCTTCTGTCCAAAATGCTTGGCTGCAGAGCCCTGAAAACTATCCTTTCAAACTGAAGTTTTTAGTTTGGATTCTTGTCCACCAAATTTAGATATTTGGGGTTAAAAAAAATTAGGGACATGTCCCACTCAAATTTACAATTGTTTAATTTCTGTTAATTTTACTAGAAGATACTAAAATACATATTTTAATTTTTCCATGAGATTCAAACACTGGATCCTGTTCCTTGATTTTCAGATTTGTTTCAGCTTTATACTGTATGACATAAATAGATACTCATGTCTAAGAGAGGATGGATTTAGTTATGTTGTAGTAATTAAAACTTTGAAACTATGATCAGAGATTTGTCCTGTTATCAAGCATTCCCAAATCTTGATCATATTTATTTTTTTGTGTTACTTGTAGGAATTTTATTCTGCTTTGTTTTGGTCTTTTCCTGCCCACTTTTTCTTATTTTCAGTTTTATGCTATCATAGCTCTTATTGCCTGCAACCTGATTTTGTTTTTAAATTTAATTTGTTATCTGTTCATTGGTTGTACAGTGTGTTTACATATTTTTGTACTTGAGTGTAGTTTTATATTAAAAAAAAGAAAAATGATGTGGTAAATATAGCTAAATAATCTTTCTAACACTTTTAAATTTAGGATCATTAGAGATGACAGAGCTGTGGAACTGTAATACTAAACAGTTGCCTTTCTTTATGTTGATGTTATTTTCTGGTTGTACTTTCTTTTTCTTAAGATGTATGACTATTTGACAGATTGGAAACTTTTAATGCATAATTGTTTAGAAAAATTTAAACTGTAAAAACGTGTCATTTTTTCCAATGGAAGTCTATGCTTTAAAAGTTTTGGGATTATTCTATTCCTAGGCAAAATTTCTGTACCCAAAATGTTGTATTTTTGCATCTTAATACTAGAACATGCTTGTAACATGTTTGGAGCCACTATCCAGATTGTTTAGTTTAAGAGAGAAAAGACCGATTGTTCCATTTATGTGCAATAATCTCTCTGAAAGTTTTATAGTGCATTGAACATTGTTTGAATAATGACATTACATTTTGAAGCAAATTGCTGCCCAGACAAAGGTCAGTGTTTTAATACATTGTTTTTTAAAAGTTGAATCTTCAGGGAACCCCATCCACTTTGTTACTTCTACTGCTGGCCCATTGCAGAGAATCCTGGGCATGCCCTTATGGTACTCATGTAAATTCTTGTGGGGTACAGCTCTATTCATCACAGATTCACTTGAGCTAGGAGCATGACCAAGAATATCCCCAAATGCAGCAGCCCACTGCAGGGGAAGGAAAGCTGCCTTTCAGAAACACTGGGGTTCCATTCTCTCAAACACCCTGTTTTAGCTGTTGCTTTTGCTCTAGAGAGACATAGGATAACAGCTCAGAGAGATGGAACAAATATTTCAAAGCTGCCCTTGCCCTGGATTACCTGTTTGATTGTGCTAATAGACAAGTAGCAAAGGCTGCCCCAAAACTTAAATGTAGAAGTTCAGTGGTGGGGATGTAACTGATAGATATAGGTGACCCCTTTCTTCTTAGTGCTATTATCCATAACGTGCCTTTGATCGGTGCGGTCTTAGTGGGTTGCTTGCTAAAGCTAAGCATTTTTGTTTCCTCCTTTGTTGAGGTTTCATTCTTTTTTTCATTGGGTAAAGCACTTAACACAAATGGGCTGATCCTCATTGGAAATGTCCTTTGCATTGAAAAATCTTGGGTCAGATTCCAAATTCTCAGTCTAGGCATTTATGTCTGGGGGAATTTTGTCTGCAGGGAAGCATACAAGGCAGACAATTCTTTCACCAGGAAAGCTTATTTTTAATTCTTCTTGCCTTATCTATTATGGTAGGGATTTTTTATATGTCATGCTTTATTTATATATCTAGAATATTTTAATACCTATTACTCAAATAGGTGAAGACTGCTATGCTGTAAATATGTATTTAGGTACAGAATAAAAATCCTTGTGAATATTTGGCGGGGGAAGCTGTTACTGAACACAGAAGCCACTTTTGGGTGGTTGCTGGTTGGGGGTTGGGGTATGTGTATGTGCAAGATAGGGGAAAATAACCTTTGATTTTAAGCACTTGCCAAAAGAAAACAAGAGTTTAATAAATATTTTTATTTAAAGAAGTGAAGCACTTCATCAGGATTTGCATTGAGTTACACTGTTTCTGGAGGAAGGTCCACAAGTATTGCCTAGCTCATCAGCTAAGCCTGCATTTGTGGTCACCAACAGTTCTTCCAGCTCATTCCCTTCAGTTTTCTGGCATACCCAGTGGGATTTAAGAAAGATTCACAAGCAATTTACCAAGTAAATAGCGAGCAAACCCCATAGAATACTTACTTATGAGTAGGCATGCTTGAGATTTTTTTCTCTATATAGAGAGGCTGTGAGAAACAGAATCCTTGGAATCAATTGGAGCAGACCCCTACTGCTTCTTCCTTCTCCAGAATCTAGTGCAAATGAGAGGTCTGGAAAAGGAATCCATGGACTCCTGGTGTTTTGCTCCCCAGAAGCACTTGTTTTTGGTAAAGTGGGGAAAGGATTTGTGGGTACTTTGTTAGGGGATGAATGCTGCTATGCTGTATGAGAACAATCTCTCTGATATTTAGGTCATGGTGTAGAACTGGATTCCTTAGAATTTTAAGGGATACATATCAGCTTGCCATCAGTTCTTATGCTTTCCAAATTTCTGTCTTGTATAGAGCAGAAAGCATGATGAAGTGGATACATGACATAATGCGTCCATTATACTCCATCAAGGATGGCAGTTTTTGATCTCCCAGTAGCTTCCTCACTTTTGCCATTTGCTGATCATTTCAAACTCTGTAATTGCTTGTTTCCTCCAACTTAAATTTTGTGTTTGGGTATAAATCACGCTTTACAAAATATTCATATTATTTGTATTTATTCTCATCCAAAATATTCTTTGCTTTATTTACTGTAAAGGTGTTTGAAGTGACTCGGTGGGCAGGGTGGGGAATATATGAACAAGCCAATTTGGGATGTTTACAAATAATAAAAAATGGTACTCCATAGATTTCCACTCTGGCTGTATTATGATTGAATTTGATTTAATGGACAGAATTTAGTAACAACTATAATAAAATACGTCCCTTCCTATCTACGGTCACTCATGCTCATTTTCAGTTAATGATAATATGATTTAGAACCCAAATATTAGAGAACAGGTCAAAAAATACATTAGAGTTTACTCCTACCATATTTGAAAGACTTTGGGATCAGATGATCTATATTAGAATCCCTTAGAATAGTCTCTGTGGTAAACTCTGGAACATTCAATATTGTCTGCCTTATTGAATAGATGGGGCAAGTACTCCCCTGTTGTCACATTGTTGGGAGAAACATTTTCTGCTCACTCTTGCTGGGAAAGGAATGTCTGCTATTGATTTAGCCCAAAAAAGGATTTCTTATTCAAAGTAGAAAATGGAAAAACTAGATGATCTTACTCCCAAGAATGGAAATGATACATTTATAGATGAAAGGTATAGGTCTGGTTTATGCTCTTATACACAACTGCAGAAGTCTATAATCTGAAATTAATTCTAGGAGCATTTGAAATGGTGTTTTAGACCTAAAGCCGAATGGGAAAATTCAAAAGCAATTCCTGGTTTGCTATCAAAGTCTTAAATCGCTAATTAATTTTCCACAATTGTTGGAACTGGACATTTCCCCCTTTCTTACATACATACAAATGAGTATCATATGTATGTGTGCAAGGTATATGGACATGAGTGATAAAAATGCATGAGAGAGTGTTTGAGTATATATATATATCTTATATATATATATGACAGAGTTACAGAAACTTTGTAATACTTTGTGAAAATAATTATATTATGGATGTTTGTACTGTGCACAGCTACTGGAGTTAAATGTAGGGAATCTCAGGAACAAGCATAAAATTTGTCCAAGACTTATTTCTCAAATGTGTATGTGCAGTTTTTAATTCTGTATACTATTTAATATTTTACCAATAAAAATAAACTTCTCACATGAAAGAGTTCATTTTATGAAGTTTCTCATGTCAAAAATAGATCTCATACCTCTTTGGTGAATGGTTTGGAAGATGAATTACTGTTTAATAAATATGGTACACCTATAGTTAAATATATATAAGATATCCCAAAGGTGCTTTTTCTGCCTTTGGGACAACCTTGACTGGATGATTGAGAATCTCCATAGACATATATATTGGATACCAGAAAGGTGTGTCAGCTATGTCAGTTGCAGGGTGACATAGAGAAAGGAGGCAAATCAGTTGCTCTGCTCTCTAGGGATTTACAGACAGAGAAAGAGAGAGATTGTTGTATGACATGCACATTATATAGAAATGCTCAAACTTTGGGGAATAAACAGGGTGAACTTGAATTATTAATACATTAGGTTATATATGATATAGTTGCAATTACTGAAATGTGGTGGAATGAAACCCTTGACTGGAACATACTGATAGAAGGATACAAACTGTTCTAAAAAACCCAAATCAGACCCCCCCAAAAGGGGAGGTGGAGTTGCACTATATGTAAAAGACCACTATATTGCTACAGAATTGCACAAAACCAAGGACAAAAATCACCTAGAATGAATATAGGCAATATATATGTGAATGATATTGCCATAGGTGTATACTATAGGCCACCCAACCAAGCAGAAAAAAATAGATGCACTTTTTGCTAATCAATTAACAAATATATATAGGAAAAACAATACAATAATAATGGGGGACTTCAATTACCCTGACATCAACTGGAAAACTAAGCTTTGCTTACAGGGCCTTACCAGATGTTGCCCAAATCTGATTCTCTCATTCACTTTTCCATTCCATTCTCACACAGCCTCTTTCTTCTCCCTAACAAAAAGTCCTGCACCCTGGCCAAACTCCCATGCTTTCCAGAGTCTGTTGATTGAATAGATCTTTTGGGGTTAGGAAAAGCCAGAGGAAGCAAGATCCAACTGTGATTGGGAAAAGAGTCTTCTCACTCTCACACACAGACACACACACATTTCCCTTACTTCCCTGGGCTTTAAAAGTTAAAATTTAGAGGTACTTACCTTCTTTCCAAAGCAGCCCTGGAGCTCAAACTCAAAACACCCTTTACTACCCCTGCTCCAAATGGGCAGGGTCTGGGAAACCCATCCACAGACACAAAGGGTCTGCTTGCCAGCAAGATGGGGCTTACCAGTCCCGGTCCATTGGTGAGCTGGCTTGAAGTCCCATCCTGGGTGCCAAATTGTTGAAAGAAAAATCTTCATCAGGGTCCAGTCCAAGCTGGGAATAAACAAAATGGAGACTGCTTTAGAAAGAAGGTTGTAGTCTATTGAAGAGCAGAGCCAGACAGAAATGTGGCTCTGGAAAAGCTGACTACATGTGGTGGTGGGTTTTTATACCTTCTTGGGCTTTTGTGTATGAAGTTGTTTCCTGTTCCTGTGGCATGAACCTCAGCTTTTGAGCATGTCCTTTCAGTATTCTGATGGTGGTGGGTTAATCCTATTAGATCCTAAAGGTCATGTTTTTAGAGTTTGGGTGAGGGATGTAGATTTTAGGGGTCTTTGTCTTTCTAAATTCATCAGCTCCAAGCTTCCTGGCCCCAACCTTTCTGAATGCAACCTTTCTGCATTTCTACAGACCTGGTCTCTGCCTAGTTTCTGCTTGGGGCTATTAAGAAAAACTGGGCCTGCTTTTCTGCCTTTAAGATCCTTTGGAGGAATATAATATTCTGTCCTTTTTAAGATCGCCGCAAAATATTTCCATCTCTGGGAGGGCTGACTTCCTACAAGAGCATTGCTTATAACTCACTATTTGGTGCAGAAGTCCAAATTAAAGGTTCCTTAATTAATGTCTATTCAGCTTCTTCTTGAGTGCCTTCAGCAAAAGAGAGCCCACCTTTCTTCCCATAGGAAGATCTCCTTATGTCAGCTGGAATCTGCCTTCCCAAAATCTAAGATCTTTTTTGTATCTCTTCCTTTCTGAAATGATGGTTGTACTTGTAGAAAATCATTTTTCCATTCCTATCCTCATGGAAGTCATCTGTTCATTTGTACCAGCTCTTTATAGGACTTAATTGTTCTAAGATTTGGAGATAATGTGCCTTTAATTGCAACTCCTTCACTCTCGTTGTCAGAAACAAATGGAAGTCATCATATGGCACTCAAGCCTTCTGTTGAAAGAGAAAAGGAAGATCTATCATTGTGCAGACCTGAGGCCTCAGGTATAGTCCGAAGCTGTTTAGATCTCAGCCCTATTTAAGAACAGAACAGCAACCCCAAATCTGTCTTATACCTCAGGTTATTGTCTCAGCAAACATGTGTTTAAGGTAATGTCTGTGAGTGCAAAGAAGGCATTTATACAATAGAGGTGACAAGGGACTGTTCAAACTTTCTGAGTTTGCAGATTTGGCAATACTGAGAGTCCAGGTGACTACTAGCTGTAATCAGAGCATATAGTGCTGAATCTTAGGATCACAATATTGTTTGAACTCAAGAGTGCTATGAAGCTCTACTGATATTGAAAAATGGCATACAGTATATTGAAGTATCTTGGCTTCAAAACATACTGTCATGTGAAAAAATATACCCCACTAGATTTTTCAATATATGGAAATGACAATGATCATAAACATTCAGTACATTGATGAAGGAATGGCTGAAAAAAGAAAAGGAGAATGCTGGAATGGCCAACCAAGTTAAGATCTACTGTAAATCCCCTCTTGATGCAAAAGGGTGATTTGAAAAGGGTTGTGCATGCAAGAAACTCCTCAAATATCACACAACTGGGGGAAGAATCCTGCCTGGATTGTGTTTTTTTCTTAGAAGGAAATGATATAGTTATTAATTTTTTGTCCAATCAATTATTGCAAAGTCAGTTTTTTGTAGTTTCTTTGTTCAATTACATTACATTTATGGCGGAGGAGATTGCAATATCATTGCAAACAAATGCAAAGTTCTTTGAAAAAAAAAGCAAAGGCATGACTAGAGGGAGGAAAAGGTTTATCTCAAATAATTTTATTATATTTTACAAAGCATGCATTAGAAAACAACATCAACTAACAGAAGAAACTATAAAGAGTAAAAATATAATAGAGATAGAAGTGAGGTAAAGTACATAGCAAAAGAAAGGAAAACACAACCTACTTTCGACTCTTAATTTAAGACTGTAATAAAATGTCCATTTTACCCCCCAAAGAAATCTTTTTTCCCTTTTTAAATTTTAACAATCTTCAGATCCATATGTCAAAATTAGATTTTCTCTATCTCCTGCAAAAGGTCCACAAAAGGATTCTAATTATAGATGAATTCTTCAGTGAAATTTTCTCTCATGAGGACTGTTAACCTGCTCATCATTGCCAGTTCTGTCATCTTTATTAATCATTCCTCTGTTGTGGGTATTGTAGTATCTTTACAAAGCTGAGCATATAAAGGTCATGCAGCTATTATCATTATATAACAATAAAAAGCCATGTGATTTTTCCTCTATTTTATTGTTATTATTGTTAAACTCTAACAAAAAATGTTCAGTCTAAATTGTACATTAATTTTCAATTTTTTATAATTACATTACTATTTTCCCTCCACTCTTGCTTAGCCCTTTTACAAATCCACCAAAGGTGATAAAAGATTCTTATTTGAGTTTTACATTTCCAGCAACTATTTGGGGATCCTTTATACAGTTTAGTCAATTTATCTGGGATAAAGACCATCTATACATCATTTTATAGAAAATCTCTCTGAAGTTAAAACATAATGTAAATTCCAGTCCTTTTATCTACATATTTTCCCATTGATCAATTGGTATGTTGTATTAAAAAGTATTTGTCCAACTTATCATACAATATTTAACTAGTTTGTCTTCTCTTTCCAATTTTAACAAAGATTATACATTTTATGGTTGTGTTAATTTGTATACAGTTCTATTTCAAATATATTTTATCATGTTCAAAATCATACTTTTTCTTATTAGCTTTAAATCTCTCTGTCAATTGCAAATACAAAAACCATTGACAATTGAAACCTTCTAATGCCAGGTGTTCTCTGGATTTTAATTTACTATCATCTGTGGAGTAATCTGATAAATCTGCATACTTTAACCATTTTTGTCCAACCCTCATTTCCTTTTTGTAATATGCTTCATGAGGGGAAAGCCTTAAAGGTATTCTGGGGCATAATTTCATTTTATATTTATTCCAAATTCTCAAAATAGCTCTCCTAATAAAATGGTTTCTAAAATCAAGATTAACTTTAACTTTATCATACCCTAGGTATGCAGAACATCCACATGTCAAGTCCTAGCCTTCTAGAGCTAGTAAATTTGTATCCCCATTCTTTTCACCAAACAAGGCAAGAGGCTGCAAAATACCGCTTCAGACCAAACTTTCCCTCTCTTTAGCATTGCACAAGATCTTAAGTTTAACTCCTATTTTTTTTTTTCACTTGCAAAAATAAATCTGGATCTCTCTTTCTGCCATTATCTGAAGGGTAAATCCAAAGTCAAAATTGGCATGGTTTGAAATAGAAATAACTTTCTTAGTAATACATTCATTTTTATTACAGATATTTTCCCCATCAAAGACAATTATAGATGAACCCTTGAACCATCTTGAAATGTATTTTTTTTATTTCATTCCATGTTTTGACATAGTTATTTGGTAAAACATACAGTCCATATTCTTCAGGGTAACTCCTAAATATGTTATCCTTTTCTTAACCCTGAAGCCTGTTTTATTTATCAATTCTAATTGGTCCTTTTGCCCTATGTTTTTTTTAATTAATTTTTGCCTTTTGTTTGTTAATCTTAAATCCAGCTACAGGACCAAAATCTTTTAGTTTTTTCATTAGTAATTCTACTCCTGTCAATGGCTCCTCCGGTATCAATATGCTCTTAATTTATATACCTCCTTTTTAATGTTTAATCTCCTTATACCTTCCTGATTTCTTATATCCTTATCCAGAACTTCTAGTGTGAATATGAATAAAAGTAGATATAATAGGCATCCTTGTGTTG